CTGTGTGTGTGTGTGTGTGGTGTGTGTGTGTGTGTGTGTGTGTGTGTGTGTGTGTGTGTGTGTTTTACCCGGGCAGTTAATAATATATCCTGTTCATTGCCAATCATCCATGGATCATGTAATACAAAAAGGCATGATTGCCTTCTCTTACTTTAAAATAATAATACAAAAAAACCTCAACAAAACAAAACCCAATAAACACTGAATGCAAGTATTCGAAAGAAATTTATATAACGACACGCCCAGCCCTGCAATGCAATGTTGTGGGCGGCACCTGAATGAAATATGACACATTATATTATATGAATAACTAACTTGGGGTCAAAGGTTATGTCATTATGTAATAACATGTAATTTTTAATTTCCCCACTAGTTTATCTCCAGTCGCTGAGTCTGAGGCACAGCTGGCTTCTTCTTCTAGTCTCGGACTTTGGCCCTTGCGTGGACGGTTGGGGGGCGGGGGAGTGTCCAAATCCAACCCGAAAGAGTACAAACATTGAAACTGTTTAGATTTTACACCCTTTTAACACTGTAAGGTAAGTTTTTTAGTACGATTTTTACGCACTTGCAACACAATAATGGCATACAAATACCCAAGATTAGGTGTTGCAAGAGAGTAAAAAACGCAAAAAAGGGAAGACTAAAGATAAGGACGATAAAGATACAGATGTTTGATAGGAAAGAAGGAGCAAACCACACCAGAGCACCCGCCAATCACCCACCATAGTAAGGTATAAGAGGCGGCTGAAAGAGTTTACAAGTCAGTTTATTGACTTTCTCCTCACTCAGCTTGTTCTCATCGCTGATAACAGTTAAAGACAGAGTTCCGGCCTTTTTAATTACCTTACCGTATTGAAGGGGGAAGGGGGGGGGGTAAATTAAATGTAAAACATAAAATATCTCTCGTTTTTTATTCTAAAAAAAAAGCTTCCTCCCACAACAGCGACATGTGTGGGTGGGTCTCAAACTCAAAAGTAAAAGTGAACAGAGCGGTGTGGAAGTTTGAAGGGTGCACTCTGCAACTTGAACCAAGGACCGAGTTGTTGAGATATAGTATAGCGAGTAGGGCTTTTCTAGGGTTCGCCTTCAATTTAGTTGTTTGTTGATTTGTTTGTTTGAGTAAAGAGAAGCACATAGACACAAAAATGGCCATTTAGTGTTGGGAAAAGGTAAGACAGACAGAAGTAACAGAGGGAAAGTGAAGATGGAGTACCTATCGGGGCATCCTCCAACCACCAGCCCTTTTATTTTAAAAAATTTACTGTTAAAACATGTGCAAACAGGAACTACTTTATTTAAACCAGTAGATACAAAGAGTGTGCTATGAAAAATTCAGATATCACTAAATAAAGGCAAGTCGTCAACTTGGTGGATTTATTTGACTTGGAAGAAAGTTGACATAGTTTAACGAAGGGCAAAATCATGAAGGGAAAAGACATGACAGACAGAGCGCTACCTTAGAATTACAAAGTTCTATCTGCTCAGTACCAGAAAAATTTGACGTTAAAGATTTTGAGTTCCACAACATGTCAAGCCTTTTCAAATGCAATTCTTTTAATATCTTGATAGCGACTCCAAATAATCTTACAATTTTGACAGAGCATTTGATTTCTGATCTCATGGTTTGAGTAACTCAAAATGGCCAAAAATGCCAAATAGAATTTTGTAATTCAGAGGTAGAGATATGTAAACAACAGACAGACAGAATAGAAGTAGAATCTACATCTGGCACCCTCTCTAAGCACCAACATGAATGCGATAGGGTATGCATGTATGTTCAGTGAATGCTAGGTGCAGGAGGAGAATATTGACAACTTAAAAATCCTCATCTACGCAAACACTTCTATGAAGCTCAAGATGAAATCTTATTTTACAGTGCTTTCCAAGGATCTGATGAATACATGTACGCTTAAAATGTCAGGCAGTTTTAGAATCACAGATAGATAGTATGGCTGAATTGAAAATTGACCTTGTCTAAAGCGTATTAAATTCAGCTTCCTGCCTATCTGAATTTGAACAATTTAAATCATTTACCAATAATTCTTATTTAACAAAGTGTGTATGGAGATAAGTCCATTGGAAGCAACAAGGCATTTTGAAAAAAACCCCAGGATCAGTATAATGTGCTCTAGACTACAAACTTATGTGTATTTTGCAAAGTTAGAAGTCATCAGGTAGCTTTCCATGATACTTCACTTACACCATAAATATTTGGAGATTGAAACACAGTACAGAATAGTAATGCTGAAGTTTTTACCTTTTCCAAATTTAAAAATAAAAAACAAATGGATAAAAACACATGATCACATTTCAGGAAAATTTATTCAAACTGGAAAAAGAGTGTAGAAACAGAGAAGATAACAATCCTCAGTAAACAACAAATAACACACAGTGAGAAATGTTATGCTATTTGGTGTTGGGTGTTTGAACATGGTAGAAAGACAAATGTTAACAGAATAACACCTTCTCAAATACGGTTTGAAAAATTGAGTGAGTGAATTATCACACCTTCCAGGCACCTGCTGAGAAAGTGGTACAAATTACAAGATCAGACAGCGATAAAAAAAAGTAGATATGGGTGAGACATTAACAGGGGCACCCACATGCTACCTGCATAGAGGGTTAGATGAAGGAAACACAAACACTAGTTAGATATTGAAAGCAGAGACAACAACAAACAAAAAAATCCACCGTGAAAAGTAAGCACACTTCACACTCATGATGAAGTTATATAACTAGACACATGCACAAGAAAAAAATCTGTTTTAGTTGTATTTTCTTTAACATGTATAGAAAGAACAGGTGGGACTTTCACAGTATAAGAACTCATATGTATAGTTATGACACAAAAGCCTTCAGCATGGTAGGGACTTTGAAGACGTTGTATAACCTATAGAGTTTGAGTTTTATTCAGCTGGTTTTAGTGCCTTTGTTTTTGTTGTAGGCCTACTTGTTGATAATGGTGTGCAGACTTTCAACATAAGCTGCTTCTCACAAACCTGAATATGGAGTTGAGATAGTACAGTCTACCCACAAAAGTCAGAAGCATCGTTGATTCTTCGTATTGATAATAGTCATAAAAGTAATTAAGTGGGTTTTAAAAGCATTGACAAAAAACAGTACAATTTCTGAAATATGGATCAAGAGACAAACAAGACTGGATGTTCAAAATGCCATTCCAATTTATGGCACCATATAGAGAGAAACCCATAAGCAGGTTGGTATCTAAAGGGATGGAGGGCAGCCTTGCATACATTAAGAAACTACTTTTATTGGAGAACAAGTACTACAAGGGAAATATGGTAGATCAAATGTCACTCTCAAGAATGAGCACCTTCAAAAAACCAAAACAAGAACCCCAAATAAAAACAGACTGAGTAAAATACACAAACAAACATTAAAAACAACTTAAATTGTGGCACAACTGAAAGCGTACACGTACGATTTCAACGAATAACAAGAGTATGTAAAATTGCAAGTTTTTCATTTTTCGTTTTTGTACAAAAATATCATCATGGTTTAAAATAATGCTTGTAATTCACTGTGATGAAAATATAGTCACTGACGTTTTTTTTTTCCATCATTTTGTTTTCAGCTGTTAGCACAATACAGCTCCTAACAGAGTAACCAGCGCTATTTCTTTAATGCTGCCATGCAATAACCAACAACATCAAATCAATTGTCAATGCTCAGAGAAAACTAAACGTCCAGCACATGTTTTACAGTGACCAATACTTTCAACAAAGCCTTAAGGACTAAAATTATTGTGATATGGGGCGTTAAAATTAAAAGGAAAATGATTGGACAACTTGGTTTTTCTCTTTTTGAAAAGCCGCAGCAACTTGAGTTATGGCAATTTGTGCAGACAAACCTGATTTTGCTTCATTAAAACAAAAATGATCTGTATAATCAATCAATAATGCCTTTGTACACACAAACCCCCCCACCACCAAAGTTATCATTAAAAATCATGATAAATGCAAGGGACACTACACTAGAGGATTCATGTCAGATGGTATCAATGAACCCTTATGTGACCAAAACATAACTGTACACAGCGTACTACAGCCTAATTAACTGTTGTGATACAACTCAATTTCCCCTATCAAACTACTGGTATTGAAATGATGTGTCAAATAAGCACATTAGATTTATGAATACTAAGTACATCGTATATGCTGACTTAATTTAATAACAAGCAACATTTATTAGGTCACAAACATGATTATTCTATTTGAAAGCTAACCTTTGCAGTTAACTTAACAACTCCCTTCCATGTAAACTTTAACGATAACTTGATTCCAATCAATCAAAAAATATTAAATCAAGAACACAACAGAGGTGAAGAAAAGATACAAGAACAAATAGGTGTTATGACACAATATAAACAAAAAGCAGTAACAAAATAACCTTTAATGCCACTTCAGACCTGCCAACCTTGCAGGATGAAAAATAATCAGATAACCCAAGAATGTCATTTCAGAAACAAACAGTCATGTGAAAGTGGCAAAGAAAGAAACATTTTTATATTATATTTAGTTATTGTCAAAGACATAACACTCAACTCAGTTTGAACCTGCTTTACAAATTGAGATAGAATAAATTTGTAGACACTCGTTTTTCCAGTGACAAAGTGACATAAAGAGCAAACTGAAACAAAAGGAATAAGAAAGAAAAATAATACAACAAGCACGGAGTAGGCAATCCATCTGATGTGCTCACTTCGTATCCCAGGATACCAGAGTGTGTGTATCGTATCCGTATCTACCCGCCCTCACAGAAAAAAAGAAAACAACTCTAACAAACAAGAGCTACATCATTGCTGCTGCTTTGAAGAACAGCACCCCTCACTTTATTACTGTCATAATATTAGTCTTTGTTTTTATCTGTCAAAACATATCTGTGTCACACTAAAGAATCATTTATCGTAAATCATAATACTCAGCATTAAATTTTCTGTGCACAAATTCTGCTTCATCCACTAACGAATTTGCAAAGACAAATACTGAAACGCATAGTACTGATTGTATAGTATTTTCATTTTGAAAAATTAAACATATCTAATGTTAAAAATAAACGAGCTTGTGAAAGAAATACTGCATTTTGTCATTTTTTCCCCCATTAACTTAACAATAATATACTTTTTGGAAGCTATAATATTAACCAAGGTCATAACCATCTCCATCGGAGCATTTTCCTAAAGAAATTTTTTAGAATTATCTTTGGACACACAGTACTTATAACTAAATAAATACTGTGTCGAGTGACTTCTCAACACAGTTGCTATAAACTAAAAAATATTCATGAGATAATGATAGTCTTTTGATAAACTGAGGTACATAAAGTTGACATTTGTAGGACATTCTTAAAATCAGTTCAGCACAAACACCTTTGAAGGACAAAACCAGAAGAAAAGGGAATGTGTTAACATGTTATACGCATTCAAATCAGTTTTAGGAATATCATAAATTTGAGCAAATTGGTAATAATGCATCCACACACTAACAGTCATATTCTCATACATCAAACTGGATACTCTGTAATTTTCAAAGTAGAAGTAACAATATTTTGAAAAGTATTACCACCTTGGACTTCAATCCTTGTAACACAAACTGACGATATCCTTCTTAAGACCTTCAAACAAGCAGTGACTCATAATGTAACATATAGCCCAGAACACATTCTCTTACATTGACATGGTGGTGGAAAATAGAAACTGTGACATGCGGCTCTATCCAAACACTTCAGTTTAACTGAACTTGTTTTAAATTTGTACCTGCACAGTTTGTGAGTTTTATTTTGTTAAAGGATATATAAGATGACTAAAACGAGATCAGTCAGTTGATCATGAGACAAAAAACCCCATATAATTGGTGAAAAACATCATTTTTTCATGAGCATATATTCAAGACTATACATATTTACATAAAATCAGTGCGTGCGGTCAGTCGTGATCAGTACGCAGCCCAGAGAAGAGATACAATTTCCTTTCACACACTTGGAAGTCTCAAGACATAAGTATGAAAAAAAAGCAAAAAATATAAACCTCCACGTTGGGAAAAACATTTCCTTTGACTAAAACAATAAAAAGACAATAAACTGAATCAGTTATTCTTTCACAACCAAAAAGCAAAAACACAACAAATTTTTTAAACAAATGACAAAGGGAAAAAATTTTCATTCACAGTTGGATTTTTTTTTCTTTCAGTGGTTTGAAGAAATCGTCCAAGAATGAAGAGAGAACAGCAAGAACTTGCCAGGAGATCAATAACCTTCTCAACACCTCTCACTATGTGTCAAGCATCATATAAGAAATGTAAGTTGCGACAGGCAGCATTGCAAAAAAAATTATATCGCGTGAGTACTTTTTTTTTCACCAGGAAACCAAGAATACGAGAACAGAAGTATAACACAAACGAGTATAAAGATAGGTATCAACAACTTTTCAGATTCCTTTCACAAACCATAGTTTGACCCCCCAAAAAGAGTTTATTTATAACCGAATAATTTCAGAGCCAGCAACCAACCCCCCCCCCCCCCGGATCTCAAAATCAGTAGCCTCATGTGAGATCAAAGCTTTCAATAACTCTCTTATGGACTTTAAAAAGTCTAGACACAAAAATACCACAAAAGTCCCCCCCCCCCCCCCACCCCCACCCAAACCCCACAACATTAATGCACAATTTTTAAAATGAACAACTACATACTTGAAGATCAATGCTATGTCTGTACTGACTGAAGTTTTTAGAGAATCATAGTGAACAAAGTTAAAAGAATAGAAACTGAAAATGAAGCACTTTGCATATCAATGGAAAACAAATGAACAAAACATATACATTGACTGCTTAGGGTAGGACTCCACCATACACCATTTTGAAAAGTGACTGAGAGGGAGTCTTACACATTGCAGTCTATATGATGAGACAATAGCTGTACATATGAGGATAGTTGAGATTTCTTCTCTGTCTCCACAACATGAACGTTGATAAAAGGATTTGTAATTATAAGAAATGGAACACGGCTGATAGTTCACCAAAAAAAAAAAAAATGTCTTACCAGGAGGTGGAAAAGGATGAAAATAAGGAACATCAAATTTCGATGCAGGAAAATGAATTTTGTATATATATAAAATGTAGGAAGTAAGCAGTTTAAATTCTCACATGTGGAATATCAACGTTAGTAACATTCCCTCCTCCCCCCCACCCGCCAAAAAATCAAAACAATACAAGAGATAGTATACCCACAACCAAATATTGCATATGCTTGGCTATAACGGAAAAAAAACACAACAACCCAAAGAAACCGACAAAACAAAATTGAGTACTAGTAATTAAGAAGTCAACACAAAACTTTCAGCTCCATCGAAGTAAGCTTTCACTAAAACTAAACATAAAAAACCCCAATAAAAAGTCATATAAAGAGTTATGAAAGAAACGAAACAACCCAAAAAGCTCCGACCCCTCACACTTGGAGAACCTTGCAGGCTTAATATAAAGGAAGAGTAAAAGGTTATCACAAATGGAAGCGTGTAAATAAATCAACCGCATGCAAGATGACAAAATTATATGTGAAGAACAATACAACTTTAGAGAAAAGTACACAAATAGAAGGGTTTGCATATAAGCCAGGTCAAGAGTGAAAATGAATACTAGGTTACAATTTTGCTACTTGGAGGAAACCGATGTCCATGACAGGCAGGACAACAGCCACACAATATCTAAACACCAAACATTAAACAGAGCCCAAGAAGAAAGAACAAAAAATATATGGTTGTGAAAAAAAAACACACCTATCAAAGAATGTAATATGTGGGTAAAATTATGCAAGTTATAATCTACAACATTCCTATCAAACATATGATGCATGACCACTGTATTATTCAACAAAATAAACTTGCCTTTTCTGAATAGGTTAGGTTTCCTACCCTTTCAACATTCAGAGCACAAAAATATTTTATCCATGACAATGAAGTTTGCTAGTGCCTTTGACTCAATTTTATTCATTTTATCAAGAATATTTGCCTTGAGAATGCCTACACAGCACAGAGAAAAGAGAATAAGAAAACGAAAAGAAAACACTTGATAGTTTAGGAAATAAGTGACTTAAAAAACAGTAAATAAAAGTAGGCACTGATGAATTTTGAAGTACAAACCAGAGCAAAATGCAGTGACAGTTTTTACCTTAACAGTCCTAGAATCTTTGCGTAGACAATTGACAAGACACACTAAGAAACTTAAATACTCTTCTCTGAGAGTCAATAATGCAGACACCCTGCCTTACAAAGTACACTGAGGACACTGTAAAGACATATACCGTAATAAAAAAGGATTAAAGCATCAGTTTTTAAAGTTCTAGTTTTCTTGACAAAACGAGCTGGAAGACATTTCTTTTTCCTATGGTGAAGTATTGAAATTGCATCTTTCCCTCTGGGCTGCTTCTTATTTCCAGATCACTCATCCATCTCGCCATAACACTCCTCAGCTTGCATAAAGAATTTGTTAGCCAATCTGCCTTTCATGGCTGACATTGCTGCTTCAGCTGCCTCATTGTACAAGTCCCCTGGGAAGATCAAAACAGAAAAAGCAAATAAACATGCGTCATTTGGATGCATGCTGGGACCCAAATCAGGTAAAAAGTGAATAATTATTTGCAACCTAGAAATATGCATGTATTAGTATTAGCAAATATTATAATTTTTAACCAACACGAATAAACCGGCATCTAAGGGGGAGGCATTCTATAATTTAAAAAACCAACACTACCTACATTCAAACGCTGCTTAAGCAATTTCCTTTTGCATAAATAAGTAGATTTTTCACTTTAAAAAACAAACAGGAGTGGTACAATACGTGACCAATGATTAGCTCAGCTACTTTATGTCTTACACCATTATTTTTTTTTCGAAACTAAGAAAACTCTATTGCCCAAATTATCCCGACTTACACATCAATAAAAAATAATTTTCTTTCGACAACTCCGCTCGACACATCTTTCCAGAGCACAAATATTCAACAGAACTTTCAACTACCAACTCGCATCCTAAAATCTTTTTTTTTTTTTTTGAGCATGAAGGAACAAACCTGCTTTCTGAGGATCCTTGTCTAGCCCATGGCCACCAGTTCGGTACATACACGCTTGGTGAGAGAGCAGATCGTGGAGTGGGTCGGCCATGGTGGAGTCAAACTCTCCCCCTTCATCGTGGTCGTTTTGCTCCACTGCCTTCTGGTACCAGTACACAGCATCCTCCCATGACACAGATCTGTGACAACGACAGAAACAGTACATCAAAACACAATTAGAAGCCTTCAAGGTCCAGTGTATTGTACACACAAGTGGACAGAGCACTCCTTCCAAGACAAGATGGCCAGGAAGCTTTAAGAATTTATAGGGATTATCCAGTCAGCAGGGCCACACCCTATGTTGAGAACAGTAAGATGGTTCCCATTAAATAAATGATTACTTCATAAACATGCGCTGGTCCAATTCTATGTTCCAATTACAACACACAGCAATTATCAGTATGTGACGACATCATAAATGTCAGGACCAATGAAACACCTCTTATTTTGGTCAATGAAACAAATGTTCTTAATATATGCAGAATAATTAAGTCTTGAAATTTTGTCTGGTATACCCAATAAAAGAATTAACAGCCTCACTCCTCAGCCAGAAAAATGAAGCCAATTACAAAATTCTAGATGATAATTTTAATGCATGTAACAATTACACAGGCTTGTCCGACAATGTTGAGAACAACATTGACATGCCTGGCTTTGACAACAAAAACAAGGGTGTCAGGCCATGATCCACAGTCATTTCCAAATAGAACAAGTAAAAAAACAGAGAAGCAAATTCCAGGAGGAAAAAAAATTAATGATAGCTGTTCTTTTCTTAAGCTAAAAGGTTACACTTCAAGAGCATCACATATTAAAAAAAAAATAATGTCATGTATTCATTTTTCGTCTACAGTAAAAACAAATGTTAATTGTGGTATTATTTATACTGCACTTTCTTAACGGGAAGAGCTACCCTTGAGGACCACTTTGTATGTTTATTGCCTAAAATCAAATGTAAGTACACATACAAGTTAGGGATAGTAAAATCTCTTGATATGCAATTTTATTTTGGCATAGCTACAGCGGTTGCTATGGAAACGGCCGCCATCTTGAAAATAAATAATGAATTTCAAATTCCTAAGGCTTTCTTATTTACAGACGAGACTTTTACCAAATTTGGCGAGAGTATACCTGAACCAGACCCTATCAGAGTAATAGCAAATTTTTTAAAAATAAGTTCAAAAAAATATATAGTTATGACAATTTTCCCAAAGTATAAAAAACTTTTTCTAAATTTAGGTTGCGTAATCGCTTGCCAAAGGAAAAGTGTTACAGTTTTCACAAATATCTCTCTGTTACATTGACATCTATGTTTCCTGAAAGTTTCATGTCAAAAGGACAAAAACTAAGGAAGGAGTAGGGAAAAAACTGCAAAAAAATTACATTTTGCGAAAAATGACAATTATTGTGAAAATTCACTGTATTAACTCATCATCATGTTTTCAAAGGCAATTTACGAGGAGAAAAAAGACTTTCTGAATTGTATCCATGCTATTTTTAGACAAAAAACTGGTTGATCTTCAAAAATCAGCCAACATAAAGTTTGCATAGCGTAACTTAAAATCTGCAAAATCAAGGGTCGCTCCTCCCCCTTAAGGTGAAAGCATTGAAACAGCCGAGTTTTAAGCACGAGTTGCTACTTCTTTTCTCATGCTGGCAAAAGGCAGGCTTTCTACCACTGTGAAATACTAACCTTTTCTGACCCAGGTTGTCTCCAGATTCAAACGCCCTCGCCATGAATATCATAGCATTTCTGTCCCCAGCTTCTGCTGCTTGAACCATAAAATCAACACCTGTATCAAGCATCTCTGGAGTGTTCTATAAGAAATAAAAAAATTTAAAAAAAGAAGTTCAGCACATTAAATTAAAAGACATAACAGCACAAATCCTAGAACAGGTATGTTTTTGAGGGATTGTCTGCAGGAAAATAAAAAACCCTTCATATTCAAGTTCTATGTTAATTTAAAGTTTATGGCTTCGGACCTAAGAAATTAAAGCACAGCATGACATTCATGATGTAAATTACTAATGGAGTAAAAGCTGGGTGTTCACAATTCAAAGCATGAAGATGTCTCTCCATTCAGCATGGGGAATGTTTACCGATACTGAAATTCAAGTTACCCGTCACACATTAAGGACACATAGATGGTTTAAGACTCTCGCTGTGAAACTGGAAGAAAAAAGCCCATTTAATTTTATTTTGTTCTAAAACCACCACTGAGGTCAATCTGCAGGTCCTCAATGAAAATGAGGTCAGCATGCACCATAAATACTTAAGGGGGGGGGGGGGGGGGGGGCGCGGCTACATTCGGCTCAAAATTATGGAATTTCAGTTATAGGCTTTTTTAGCTTTCTCAGCCTCTCCTACAACTATTTCATCGCATTAGAACCCCCAAAATCCAAATTTTTTCCCATACCGGTCATGTTTGTCACCACCATTACCTCATAAAGTTAATATTTTATTTTTCTTTATCAGCTGTTTTCTCAAAACGCGACTTTTCTCTCTATTTTTTTGAGTAACGCCACCATTTTTCATCCAATCTTCATGAAATTTTCACAGAATGAAGAGAAGATGTAATACTAAAAATCTGTCTGTGGAATTTTTGATATATGAAATCGATTTTTGTTGATGGTGTCTGGAGTGTGGATTTTCCCGGATTTTTTGCAAATTTGAATGCTACCTCAGGAAAAAATTCATTAAAAATGTCTAATTCGTTTATGAAGAATACAATGCACAAATTTCTAGATCTAATGTTTGTTAACATGCATTAAAAAAACCCAATCAATTTCCATGAGCAATAAAGTGCGGTATTCATTACGTAAAACATGTCAACAAAATCCAATATGGCCTCCGTATCCATGGAAACGAAACTTTTTTCTCAAATTTGCAGATTTTAAGACTCCTTACTATGCTTGTTATATGAGTGAAATTTGGTAAAATTCGGATCAGTAATAAGCAAGATAGCCTTCAGGTGTAGTGCGCCCCCCCCCCCCCCCCCCCCCCAAAAAAAATTACTGTGGGCTAACTTTCGCGTCTTCTCACATCATAAAATCACAAGGGGTTTGACTTTTTTTTTGCCAGCTAGAAATAAAAAAACCCAAAACAATAACATGCTTCTTCGTAGCCTTTGCATTGAATATTTAAAATGGCACGATTACACTCAAGGATAAAGTGGCAGAGGCAGATCAACTGCCAGTAAGGAAGAAACACATGTGAGCAAGCCTGTAAAGGAAAAGCTCACCTGAACTACACAGTTAACAAAGAGGTCTCTCTGGAGACCCAAGTACAGCCTGGCCATGGTATTTATGGCTTCAAGAACTCCCAGCTGAGCAGCATGCTCTTCATGGTAGAGAGCTGAATCCCAGTCCACAACATCTTCCGTGACAGAAAAACGGCCAATCTCGTGATATCTTGCCATTTCGTGATGAATCTGAACAGAAAATATGTTTATATTATTATTATTTAAAAAAACTTAATCTCATACACAGCAAATCATATATTCCACATTGCATTTATTCATAGAGCCAAATAGACATAAAATACAGTTTTAATGTTCTGAAATCTTAACAAGTAAAGGCTACATAGATCACAAGGTAATAGCAACAGCTTGAGCTAAGACAGGATAGAGGGTCAAACCTTTCAAAGCACAAGGCAGTGAGCATGATCAATATGCCAAAAAGTACTGCCTCAGTTGTTTAAAAAAAATTTCAGTTAAGGAAATTATAGATAGGCCTACTCTTCAGTAATAAAAATTTATATTCTGCAAATCCAGTTTAAAAAAAGATTCTATTACAATAATACCTGGAAAAGTTTTGCCATGCTCGAGTAATTATGTCCAGATATTCTTTGCAGGGTCACATTTCTATTCACTTTGCTTTTGTTCAGTAGTAATGCATAATTTCTTGTTTTAAAAAATATAATTCAAAGTGCACTGTTCATCCAAACTGAACCAAAAAGAAAAACACAGTAACAAATGTACAAAACAAAATTCCAAATTATGTCTTCAGCCAACTGATTACAGTTCTAGAAATGCTCAGACCTGCCCAAGCACCGAGTCTCCAATACGTAGGTTGGCCAACTTCCTGAGATCCAGTTCATGAAAAACACTTGAAGGTCTCGCTTTACTCGCTTGAGCCTCAGAAAATGCTCTACGTTCCTCTTCCTGTGGAATGAAAAAAAAAGTAAAAAGTTGAAAATGAGAAGTTGAAAAGTTTGTATCGCAGATAAACCATAACATACTATGAGGCAAAGCACAAAATATGTTCCCACCTGAGAGGATCATGGAACATAAACAAAGGGTGCAGCTCCACACACAGGGTCCAGTCTAGCACACTACAGACCTTCCTGAAACTAAATTCTCAAGAGTGGGGCCTGCCTTCAAAGTCACTTATCTGTGTGTAGTAGGCCATTGGGCTAAAAAATAACGATAATAGTTCGTCCCTCAATATCTGATGATGACCAATGCGACCACAGAAAAGAATATTTCTCAGGCAAAATAGAAGAAACAAATGCTAAAAAACTCAACCAAGCCTTTTATTTCTCCTCGATTAAACAACAAGAACTTTTGGTTTTTTTGTGTTTTTTTTAAGAGATTAGTATGGGTAAAACTTACAGCTGTCATGGAATCCTGCTCAGATTCACTCTGCCAGCGCACACGCGACCTGTGGATGACTTGGCCCACAGGACTGTCCAGTGACATTGGTTCCTCCTCGCTTCCAGGGCTGATGAGAGAGGACTCGTCTGGAGAAGTTGCAGACTCTGAAGAATGATGGCGCCCAAGAATCTCAGTCAGGTCAAATGTCTCCATTGGCGACGCCGATATGCACTGATCCTCCCCTCCTCTCAGCTGAGTCATGCAGGAATTTTGCTGTGGATACATATGTTCAGGTTGAACCAAAAAGAAGAGTACAACATAAAGCATATATTTGAAAATATTAGATTAACAATATCTTTACCAGTGTTTGATACTTAAGTACATAAAAAAATTTCTTTGGAGCAAAGTTTAGTTTGATTTTACGGCCCTTGCATAAGGTGCAAAGCTGAAAAGAACTTTTAAAAAATCTTTTTAAACTTGAAGATGACCATCTATTGACAGTGGCCTGGAATATGGAAAAAAACAAAACAATTCTTTTGCAAAAGAGATAGACAAAATGTCTCGGGCGTAATCATTGACCAACCTGTTTGAGGATGAAATCTCTGCAGGTAGAAAGCTCTGTATCTGACAAATCAAATGGTGTGAGGTCCAAACTTTCACAGATAGAGTTACAGATGTGAGAGTGGAAGAACAAAGCCATTCCTTTAGGACCCAGGTTTCCATCACCGTATTCACTGCCATCTGCGGTGTGAATCTGTGGGTCTGTGTAGAGATCTCCCACACCTTGCACATCTACCACTATCATCTGATGGCCTGAACGCTCAAATGTGAAGTGGCTGAAAGCCTGCAAATGAAATTTGCCACAAACATTTAGATACCTTATACCCGTAATACAAAAACTTTGGCAAATTTATATGAATCGCCATGACAACACTTTAAAAATACAGCAACTCGTAGAATGAAAAAATAAAGCAGAGTAAAATTTCTCAATATTTCAAAATATTCCAAAATCTTGCAGGCAGCAACCATTAAACAATGTTTTATGTATGAACACTGTGACACTCACAAAGGAAAAGTATAAAATGTTCACGTCAAGAGCCACCCAACATTTATAAAACTTCAGGGCTCATCTGACAATCTATTTTATTACAAATTCATCAAATTTCTACAATCTCCAACTACATGAAGAAAGAGAGTGAAAAAAGCTTACATACCCAGCACAGTTTCAATATCAGATCACCCAGTAGGCCTACAGTTTCAAGATATCAGATCACAATGTCATTTGAGACAAAATTCATTTTAACAGTTTCATCTACATTGCAACCAACAACACTTTCTGGAAAAAATAAATTGTTCACCTGTGGGGTGAGACGCAAGTTTTCCTCAACAAATCCAGAATTTGAGTTGTACTTGATGTATTCTCCTTCAATAAAATGCTCAAGATGGAACAAAGGATTTCCAGGTCTGTCGGGGAACTCCAGAACATACATCTGAAATATGTCCACCTGTAAAAACAAAACAAACACTAAAGTTAAGAAATCACCCATCCCAGATAAACTGAACTCATGGTGGCCATTTCATAGTATTTTTCCATGGGATTCTAGAATTTGTGACTGGGACAGTATGCCGCTACAGCAGGGACAATGGTGAATACTAATTTGAACAAAAAGCACAAAAAAGAGGGGAACGTTATTTACACAATGACTAGACATTCTCTCCAGGACGGACTATTGGCAGCAATTTTTTAGGGACATATACGGAGAAACCTATACAAAAAGAAAATGATGACAAACTCCAGCCCCCCAAAATAACAAACAACAATGCTCTAGGTCCATATCAAACTGAACGACAATCTAAAGTCTTAAATCTGTTGATAGCCTTTAGTGTAACACAAGTTTCAATGAAAGTGGTACACAAACCTACAAAGTTGCCAGTGAAATTACCATAACGGGTCTATACACTATCATTGCTACAAAAAAATTAAAAGACTCCGTTTCCATTTTTCACTGGAACTCAGTCACTCTGAATGTACAAGAAATAAGAAAGATAAAACACATAACATTCAGCATTATTTCTATTTTTGAATTTTAAAATAATCTTTATTTGGAGAAACAGCTTACTTTTTTTGGAGGATTATGACGGTTGTACTCTTCTCCCCACACTTTCGCATCCATTTGGAGCATGACATCTTGAAAATAAACATCTCGGTCAACATTTTCCATGTAACTTTTGGCCACATAGTTTCTAGCATTGACATCAAGACCATGACTCGAATTGCAAACATCTGAATGCCTCTTCTTCCTGCAAGAAATATAAAAACAAATTATTCCAATTTTTAAAAATTAATCAATATGAAAAAGATACAGAAAAGCTACAAGTTACGGCAACACGAGAAAGTGTCCATAAATGTTCAACCCGGCACAGTGATCAAAATTTGTCACTATTTGTCCTACACATAGATCTAGTAAACAATTGTTGCGATGACAAGCAAGACATTTAAGTATCACATGCCTTAAAAAAAACAAAAACTAACATGTGACTACATCTCTATAAAGAAAATGAAACCTTTCTGTCTATCAATGACTTTAAGGAAAACCAAACAGTAACATGAACACCGATAGAAACATCGTGACTCAATGCTGAGTTACTGGGTGTTTTTACTTTTACTTTCAGAATGCCCACTATTATTTGAATGAAAAGAACTTTTTGTTATAAAAACACTGTGCTTTCAGTACTTACACTCTGTAACACTGTCTCATGGCTCCTCTGGTGAACGGCTGTAGAAATGGTAAACATAATGGTAGAACATTTCATTTCATTCTCAAAACTAAATATACTTTATTAAACATTGACAGCTAAAAAAGATGAATCATCATACTATAAGCCCTTGAAAAACTAAATCTGCAGTCACAGTACAATGCATTTCCAGTCTTCTTGGAATGTCCTCTTGAATGTAAAAGAGCACTGTACAAGAAATGAACATGAAAAACGAAGAACAAAGAAAGTACCATTAACATCTAGATTTGTCATGAGTCCTTCTCTCAGATTCCACGTCTGACCTACTCTTTTCATAAAAGCATAAAATTTAACAATTTATGCAACAAAAAGTCAAGAACACATCTATTTAAAACCACTGTTGTGTCTTCTTCACTCTCTTCCCTTTTAACTCTCCACAAAGCATTAGTCATCAACAATTATGTCAATTCCTACCCAAAGATGTCTGTATCTTCTATCCTTCTCCATTTGTATTCCAAGTTTGTCCATTTTTCTGGCCCCTACCTCCTTTTTCTGAAATGTTGTTCTTATTTGTGCCTTCTAAACAACAATGCATTCCCAAGTTCATTAGCTTTAAACTTCACTTCTATTTGACTATTTCACCATGTCTAACAGATCACATGAATATATTACATCAAATTGTATCCTATTTGCTTTCAAACTTTATTTACTTTGAATATTTACGAAATAACTATTTTATCTTTTCAAAAATATGAAACACTGGCACAAAAATGGAATAACAAACATAATGGGGAAAATTGCTTCAAGCTTTCTATAAAAACATGCACGAAACTCTTAGCTTTATAAAAAGAACTTTAAAAACCCTGCTCGGATAGAATGACAGGCTATACTGTAAACTACCCAAGCTCAGACTGAATCGTTACCTTCTTTTCCATTTTAACCAGAACTGTGTCTTTGGTCCATTCTTTCTTGTGTGCGTTATATCTATGTCTGAAGCAGAGCTCGGTTTCTAGGTCATCCAAGTGGTACTGCTCCCACTGATCAACTCCCTTCCTCAGTTTCTTCATTATTCTTTCAAATTTTGGCTTCAGCTTGAAATGCGGCTTGTTATTGGCAACTGGGGCAGATTTAGCAGATGCTGTGTCTCGAATCTGTTTTGCCTTTGAGATAGCCAGAGGCTTAAGATTATTCTCCTGAACAGCTCCTGAGTAAGCCTGAAAGCAACGGTAAAACAGTCAATAAAGCCCCTTAAATAAACCAGTATTTAGAAGTGAAAACATCGGATTTTATTGTTTCTATGATTTAATTTTTTTTTCAAGCTTCTGTTTATTCCATCTCAAGTAAGTATGAAAGAGATAATTGGACGTCACATTGACAAAGATACATTGTTCAATGTTTGAATTTTTAAAAAAAATAATCAATAAACAAGACAAACAGAAAGTTAAGAAGGATTGCAAAGAAGCAGGACCCAGCACCACAACCAGTGGAGCCCTCGAACTGACAGTTAGGTTTTTATTTTTTTATTTTTAAGAAACCTAATACTATAATGTCTGCCCCCCCCCCCCCCCCCAAAAAAAAAACCACACACAAAAAAAACCAACAAGTAAAAGTATCATTAATATAATCAACTGCCAACAACAGTTCAACAGTTCCATAAAGACCGAGAATGATAAAGTACTCGCAAATACCTTCAACAACCTCCGCTCCCTTAATGTGATAAAAGGCTTGTCTGCATTCCCTTCACTGTCTTGTCGAGCTCTGTGCCTCACATTGTCTGTGCTCTGCTGGTCTGCCAGGGACTCACAAGAAGCATCAAAGTCAATATCAGTGATGGGGAACAGCATGACATGATCGTCTTCTCCATCGCTGACGAAATCGTTGCTATTTTCATTGACGAGTTCCATCTTGACTGCTCAACTGGCCAATAAACTTATCTCTAGCCAAACCAATGATGTGGCCTTGCTACAAATTTTTGCGAAGCAATTTTTAATAGCTCTTTGAATCTTTCCCTGATTCAGTGACGTGCAATGTATGTGAATACTCTCTGTAACTTCCAATTCAACAATAAACCGCAGACTTTAATTGAGCAGTAGACACCATGGTGGTTGATACAGAAAAGTAGGACCTGAAATTATAAAAAGAAACAAATATAGAATTATAATAGCTAACAGAAACTTAAACTATTATCTTTCCTCAAAACAATGCAGACAAAAAATCGAAATTGCTTTTTCAAAAGCTGCTTCTGTCTTTCTCCTTTTAATAAAAACAAATTTTGAGCAGGGGAAGAAAAAACAGCTCCAAGGTGTATTCCTTAATACTATCTTCAAGTGATTTTCTTTCGAATTAAAATTGACCAACAGAAGTGCAAGTCAACACTTACTCAGAGGTCCGTTTTGTCTGATTAAACTTTTTTCAGAGAAGAGACTTCATTGGACATGAAGTTAGCAGCAAAATGGAAAAACGTATTCTAAATAGTGCAGCAAGCTCATATCCAGTTGGTTCACAATATGGCAATGAATTCGAAACTGAAAATGGAAAATAATATAAACTTAAGACTATTAATTACACTGACCTGTACTTTATCGGGAAAAAAAACAACCCAAGGAAAAAACAAATAAACAATGCCTTTTAAAAGAATCTTGCAAAAACTCTGACATTATAATAACAAATTCAATCAATGTTCTTTTTAGTCTAAACCTTTCATTTTTGCTTGAAATCCTCAATTCTATCTCAAATACTCTGCTATGAAACTGATTTTCCCCACCTTTGTTTGTAGTTCACCGTTACAACTGTTAAAAATCACATTAAAACCTGAAAACAGCCGGTCAAAAAGGTACATTGTCATTGAAAAAGAATTATAATCTCTTTCCAAATTAAGTTCCGATTACATGTGCTGCTAACTCTGATGACAGTTATCAATCAAAATATAATACAGCTGTTTGCATACCAATGATGAATTTTGCGATCATGATTTTTTTCCGAAAATCAGCCTATAAAACTTATTAGGAGTAATTAGTAATGATGCATTATAATATAAATCATCAATTAAGTAATTAAGACTTATATCTTTCATTAGCAACCCCCCCCCCCCCCCCCACAATAGACCATAAAACATGAATCAGAACTAACAAAAAAACAACAACCATAAACAAACAAGAGCAGGATGTATAACTTCTGGACAAAGATTTTTTTAAAAACCAACAAAATAAAGTGCGAGTCTTGTTTACCAAAGTTGTCTGAAGGTAGCACTGAATGACATAAAGAAAAGAGTAATAATTAGAGAAAGAGCACTGCTACTTATACAGGCCTATAATAAGAAGTACCAATACTGTAAAATGGTGGGAGAATATTTTAGAAACCATTCAGAAATATTAGAGGCCTCCTTGTTTTATTGATTCGGGTGGAGGGGGGGCCAAATTCCCTAAAACTCATAAAATATATGCATATTATATATATATATATATATATATATATATGTGATGATATATCCTCCTTGACCCGAGCTTTAAACCATTGTCTTAAACTATTGTCTGTCAAAATGTTTCCGCTGTAGTAGTCAATAAAGGTTAATCAGACTGACTTTAATAAGGAAATATGCTATACTCCATGTTCCAAGGACAGAATCAAAATAATATATTTTCAGTACGTCTACACATTTATAAACCTATGTCTCCTTATCATGCCTTATATGCGATAAGCGGCATTTAGTCACGCCCAACAGTCGCTAGTGACGAGTTGCAAGGTGTGTATTTTTCACACATGAAAACATAGTGCAAAAATTTACAGTTGCGTGCGACAAAACTATCTCCTTACGCCCAACACGACATTTAGCCGCTAGCGACTAGCTAATCCCTCATGAAACTGACCATTCACAGAGAAGAGAGACAGCAGTATATTTTAATGTCAAGATGGACAAGAAGTTCAAAGTCCGTCAGATGAGAGTTCTATGAGCCGCTGACATTTTTTATTCCATACATGGCCAATTCTGTGTAAGTCCTCTTCTTCCTCCTTCTCCTCTTTCCTTCTCCTCCTCCTCCTCCTGCTGTCCATTAAAAAAACAAAAACAAAATTAAATTAACAAAATTTGCATTGGGTTGAACTGAAGACGAACATCCTACACACACACACGCACCACATCACACAGCGTGTCGACCAGAACTCCTTGGCCAGGTATTTTGACCAAAGGTGATGCTTTAAACCAGGTAAACCCCCAGTCTGTCGCACGCGACGAGACCCACTATTGCTACATGGATGGAGACAGTGTGTCAGACGGTTTCTTTATAATTTTACTTGATTGGTTGTAGACCGGGAAAGACCACACAGACGCAACATCGCGTATATAAGGAGACATGATGCAAGCTCTAAGAATGATTTTTCTGTAAGTAGGGTCAATTGGTGGACCTCTGCTAATTAAAGGTAGAAAATTTATAAATAAAAACAGTAAGTTACAACTTGAACTTTTAAGTATAAAACCTGATCCTGCAAAATCTGCCAAAACAAAGTCAAAAGGCTCTCAATAGAGTCAAGTGCCAAGGGTGGATCGCGCAAGTTGTTCCTAAATTTAGAAAACAAATCAAATCTTCCTCATTTTGGTGTCGGCGCGCCACACTTCTTCCTTTCACAAAATTATTATATTATTAGATAACGCTGTGTGGCAACATTTAAGACTTTATTTGTTGGACGGGATGGACAATAATTTAGGCTGGCACTATTTCTCCGAACGTTCGGGAAAATAAAGCTGGGCACTATTTCTCCGAATACTCTGAAATCACATCCTTTCCCGCAAATTTCGGATATTATATAGATCTATGATTATAGTATAGGCCTACCAAAGATTGTTCGTGTACAATGTGGTTCAATCGGTCCAAAAAATGTCCGCAGTAAATATTTTAAATAGAAAGAAAAGCTACAGTACCAAACAGTTTTTCGCTACATGTGACGTGTTGCCTATGAAGAGTGCTTCTCTTAAACTTAAGGTGTTGTGTTCACTCGTGTGCTGTCTAGATCTAAATCTAGATCTACGGAGGGTTATTGATAACGACACATAGAACTAGCATCTGCGTTTGTCGCGGCCGCGACCAATCAATTGTGGCTCGATTTTTTGGTCCCCGAATCGGGGAATAAAAGTCAAATAAAAAAAAAAATTTTAAAAGAAAGAAACCGAACCTCTTTACTTTTGAAAGAAAGTTCACCTTGCTTCACTTCGTCTCTTTCTCACTTGTCAGCACGTTGATTTGTTGAATATGTTACAGTTACTTTTATTTTTCCCTCTTTGTGGTGTTTTATTTTGTTAGTGTGTATTTTTTTCTTTCTTGTTATTGTTCTGATGTGTTGTTTTTTTTGTTGGGGAAAAAAAAGGGGGGGGGGGGGGATGTTGTATAGTGTAACGTCATTTAATTTGATGTTCCTACCTTCATTAGATTCTAAATATATACACATCATGTATATATATATATATATATAGATTTAAATGTGTTATGTTAGAGCGTACGTTCCACCAAAACCGATTACATACATGTACTGACACTGACAGCCAAAACCGATTACATGTACTGACACTGACAGGCCCCTTAATAAATTATAATGTGTGTGATTCCATAATTTACATATGTAATATCCTGTACTTTGTTTTAAAATTACGCACATTTAGGGTTAAAACAGCCAATCTTCTTCGGACAGGTGGACTCACGCCTTGTTAATTTTTGTGTTTGTTTATGGGCTGTTCTAATTTTTATTTCATTTTGTTGTGAAATCTTTCTTTTTCTCGTTTTTACACTCATCATAAAATCTCTAGACTAGCTCTTGAAAATTGAAATAGATATGGACCTAAAAATTTGCTCCTGTGCGTGTATGCATGTGTGCGTGGTAGTAAGTGTGTAAGTGTAAGTGGAGAGTGAGGAGCGTGTGTGTGAGTTTGTTTTTCGGGCTTTATTTCAGCCTTTATTCAGTAACAGTTCAAAGTATACAAAAATAGAAACACAGGATCCATTCACTCCAGGGCTCATGAGTCGTTCCTCTCTTTCAGTTTCACTTTCATTCAATTCCCGTGTTCTCTCCCGCGGCTCATCCCCGTCCACATGACTTTCACACCCCACCCCCTCCCTCCAGGCACACACAAAGAAAATCTCACTCATTCCCTAGCACCCTGCGAACCATGGACAATAATATAGGCAAAACACTGCCTTAGCCGCATTCCTTTCGTTCATGAGCTGTGGACCAGGCCAGGGGGGTCAGTGTCGTCGTCTTGTAGTTGCTGACGCCTGTGGATACATTCGTCGTACATTCTTCCTTTCACCTGCTCTGTCACTCACACTGTCTCTCCATCCACAGCTCAGCTCGTCATATGTTGTTGGTGTACATATGTGCATGATGGTGGTGGGTGTGAGGTAGGTGTTACTGAAGGTTGTCTGTAGGCGGGCTTGCCATGCGGTGTTCCTTCCCAGACCAGAGCCAGAGGCAGAATGAAAGTTGGCGCCGAGCGCTCGCAATAAATAGGCAAAAAATCACGAGACCGGAAGCCAGAAACCGTTCGGAGAGATAAAGATCGGCACTATTTCTCCGAACATTCGGAGAAATAGTCACTTCGAATAATTTATCCTACTCCAGGATCAAGATCTAGATCTAGATATCTAGATCTAGAATCTAGACCTAGATCTAGATTCTAGGAAACACAGTGGGTTCACCAAAAAGTTAAATCTAGCCAAAATAAATGTTTAAAATACAAAAAACGAAGTGTATACAGACCCAGTAACCGGGAACAAAGTCACGAAGTATACAGACCCGGTAGAGGAACTCCTGTGTGATTTCGGAAAGTTTCAGCGCCCAGACCCAGGCAGAAAAAGAGGGGAGAAAGGCAGAGAAATGGAGAGGGTGACTGCTCGATTGAAATTAGATCTAAGACATTGTTATTTTCTTCAAATTGTGATTCCTTCAACTCCAAAACGGAGGAAAAACGATCATTCATTGAAAAGACATCCGCAATTTTCATTTAGATCTAGATCTAGATCTAGGCCTCGAAACTAGATCTAGATCAATGATTTATTATGTCTGTCTGTTTAGATCTAGACATAGGCCATAGATATCTAGAAGAACCTAGATCTAGGTCCACCCTGAGCCAAGAGAGCGCTGAAACTTTCCTAAATCACAAAAGAGTTCCCCTACCGGGTCTGTATACTTCGTGACTTTGTTCCCGGCTACCGGGTCTGTATACACTCCCTTCAAAAAAAGGCAGAAAAATATTACGGGCTAATTTAGTAATGTTGTAGGGTTCACTTAGCCTACATGGATGGCCACTTTTGTCCATATATAGCAATCACTTCTGTTTCTCATGTAAACAAACGGGGAAGCAATTTCCAAAGAGCCCCCGGGTGGTCGCTCGTCGCTACGGAAGTCCTTCTAATGCAGAAATAAACTAGAATCCAG